AACTCTAAACTCTAAACTCTAAACTCTAAACAACCAGTAGTCACACACACAAATTACACATTCTTTATTCAGACACTAATAATTATAACATCAATTTACAAAAACTTTTCATATTTAAAAATAAGCAATGTAGAACAGCTCCATACAATAGCATAAATGTCAGCTTGCCAATATACACCACATGAAATTAAGCCTAATCCACAAGCTGGAGGGCAAATAACATTTACAGTTTCTGAAACAATAAAAAAAAAAAGAGTTATCACAATCTCTTTCATTAAATAATACAACAAGTAAAGCAACCTTTCACAATTAACTACAAACGTTTATAAACAGCTAATATACTTACCTCATCATCACCTCCATATCAAATATTTAACATAATTATTACATAATAAAATAATTTACTTTGTGGAAATTCAACACCCATTTCCACTTCTTGTATTAAAACACTTTATTTAACACTTTACTTTCTCTACTTAATATCCTCATCTTTTCAATGGTTATTTATGTACACATACAATGTTTAAAAACATTAAAGTCATTTCCATTTTTCACCTCATTTCTCCTACTTACAAGCCATGACAGTTCTTACATTGTATTTATTATCACATTTTAGAATCAATTTAATCTTTTATTGAAATGTTTGATTGCTCACATCTGGAACCTACTGTATGTAACAGTGTAATGTTTTGTTCTTGCTTCGTTAAATTGTTGTTTTTTTTCACATTCCTTTAGCTTTGTGGCTATTTTTAGTAGTTTATTTAATATGTTGACCTTCTTTTATATCCAAAGTTTCAAACAATATACAATCTGTGATATTGATAAATCATGATTCATCTTTTAGCATGTGTGGAGTTTATGTTCTATAGTTGTGAATCTGCCAAAGCCATCATCTACGTATCTGTACCACTATAGTGCCGAACTCGTGGCTTCAAATTCTAAGTCTACTGTAAACATGTTCCCTAGAATAGGTGACAGATTTCACTTTATACAAAACCAATTTATTATCTTTTACATTCCTTACCTATAAAACTGTATTTGTAGTTAAAGTATTTTGTTTTCATCAAATACGTATTATAATGCCTCATTAACAACTTACCTATTAATTCAATATCTCTCTCGTCAGACCCCAACTTATTCATTGCCTTACAACTGTAGTTTCCGTACTGTTTCTTCTCGATGCTGATCACCCTCAGTGTCGAATCTGTAAATTCATCTGCTGTTGAAAACATGGAAATATGGTAGTGCTGGTTGTTGTTTATCTCAACTCCGTCTTTTAACCAAATCACCGAAGACGAAGGAAAGGATTCAACGTGGCACTGCAGATCCATGTCGTATTGTAAGGCCTGTCCGTAACGTCTTCTATCCGTCGTCACTACGGGAGCGACTACAAGAATAAATAAAACCTTTCTTTATGCACAACTACTCTCGTCCGATACGATGATCCGTCGAGAAATACGAGCCTTTTCCACGTGGATCTACTATTACAAGACCACTTTCTAAAGATTACTATTTACTTCAAGAATGCTCATAGTCTAATAAATATTTAGTTTGCATTCTAAATATTCTGTACTCTACTTAAATTTAAAAACTTATTTACATTTTATCCAACTTACAAATATCACAAATAACTTTAACCACTTCTACTAATAAACTAAAAGCCTGAAATGTCTATATAGGATACAAATATCTCACATTCCTCGTTATTTGACATCCTTATCTCCATTTACTTTCAACATCCACTTACCAAAACATTTCTATCCCTACTTAAAACAATATTGTTATTTACTAAAGGGCAAACATGAAAAAAAAAAAAGTGCTTTTACTAATTCCTACATTCAAATTAAGAGTGTTTATTCCCATCTTAAATCCTCATAAACCAAATATGGTGAGAGTTTTAACAACAATTCCATAAAACAATTTAAAGTTTATGCTCCACGATCCTATAGGCTCTTAACTGGATAAACTGTTAAAAATGACAATTTTGTAACAAACTCGCAAAAGAAATTTATTTAAAAATTATACATTTTCCTACAACTTTTCAATTTAGATGTTCATACTATACACTTCACAATTGCCATAAATCCTTGTTATCGTATCAATAGTGTGTATAATAAGTCTTCGTAAGAGGCTTAGTTTGTATTAAATGATCATAAATAAGTCAATAGCCTACATCCAACTCTGAGTATACTCACTAGGGTCATAATGTCACCTCCAACTGTAAGACTTTTCCTTAGTTTGCATTAACTCCACACCAATTTTCCAAAGCCATGTTTGTTAAAACTTCTCACCAACAGAAAACATTTCTATATCTCTACATTTAAACACCGTGATTACAACATTTTCGGATAACCTATTGGTCCATCTTTTCTTCGTTCCATTCTCTAAAACTGAATCTAAAAAAAAAATCTTAAAGCCAGCCCTAACCATTCACGTACTTACCCACCTTTTTCTTAAACTCATTTAAATTTAAAGTCTACAACATCCAAGTGCAAACCACCTTGTTATAAAAACCATTGTAACTGAAAATAACTCCCACACTGCCAAAAGTTTATATTTCCATCAACATTATCAGTTCCCTTTACAAGATGAAACACCTCAATTAGACCCCCCCCCCCAATTAAGACAAAAGAATTTTAGAGATTTCAACCTCCAAACTAAGCAACATTCTATGAACCCTTCCCAACATATTAATGTATTTCTATTAGCAACAGTACATTGCTTGCATGGTTTTAGAGACTTATCACCTATTTCACCAAGTTCCTTTTTCTTCTTAACACTGTTAAGGTTATTCCCATTTATTTGATACAATACCTTAATATCATCAACAGATTTAAGTAACTTATTGACCATTCCTTTATCTGTGTCATTGATGTAAATCAAAAAGACTAAACCCCGAGGTACCCACTTCACACATTAATCTAGTTTCACTCAAATCCATTTGTAACA